ACATGGGGAACCCAAGCATGGCACCATCCTGGGCCTGGTTCTCAGGAGTTCCTGTTGCTTCCCCAGGCCTGAAACCAAGCTGCCATTCTGTGTGTATGCCTGCATCTACTGGCCCAGTCTTGGGACACCTGATCCATCCTCACTCTTGATCCATCCCACCTCCCTCACCACTTTCTCCTCTCACTCTGCCCCCCACTCTATTTCCACCCTCCACCCAGCCCAGGCGCCCTCTCTCCTGACTTCTCCCATCCCCATTCTGCATCTTCTCTCTCAGCCCAGTCCTCTCTGCACATAGCTCTAACTGAGCTTGGCTGGCCTTTCAAAAGTGGTCAACTGATTAAAACCAACAACATATTTTGTTGGGCATGAAGGCCTTTTTTGATTGCCCAGGCCTCCTCCCCATCCTTTGTCCTTCAGCAACCCTTTTCCATCAGGCTGTTGTCTCTGCCCTTCTGGGTGGCAGGCTACATCCCCCTGCAGGCCATGTTGGAGGCCTGCCATGGTTTCCAGAGACCTACTCTTTCTGGGGGAGAGAGAGCTACTCATGCGGCCCTGAGGCAGTTTCAAACCATATGTATTTTGTTGTGGAAGCTCTGGTGGTGGAGCACCTAAGGTCTTTGCTCACCAGAAAGCTGGTGGTTCAAACCCACCAACCACTCATCAGAAGGAAGGTTGCACAATCTACTTCCATAACGATATCACCTCAGAAACTCAAGGAGGGTTCGCTATGAGTCGGATCCCACTCGACAGCAGTGAGGTTTTATTTTATATTTTGTTGTTAGCTAGCCTGGAGCCGACTCCAAGTGACCTTATGTACAACAGAGCAAAACAATTGCCAGCTGGTTCTCTGGTCTCCTGGAATTGTCATTAATTAAATGTTAACCATCACTGTCTAGCCTATGATGGCTTTGATTTCTTGTCTATTTGTCCTTCATTCAGCCTAATTTCCTCTGACCATTCAGTTCACCAATTCTCTCTACTGTTGTAGCTAAACACTTAGTTTAATTTCAGCTTTTTTAATTTTTCATTTCCAGATGCTTGTATCATTTGCTCCAATCTACTAGGTCACTTTTTAGAGGTTCTTATTCTTTTAATACATTTTAAAGTCGATCTTTACTTTTTTCAAGTGTTTATGTATAAGTGTTTGTACGTGTGTGTGACAATTCTAATACTTGAGTCTCTGTGGTTTCATTTCATTTGTTTTTGCAATTTTTGCTGGTTCTTATTCAGGATACCTTTTTTCCTTGTGTCCTTAGTTATTTTGGACTAAATAATGGTCCCTGGGAGTCCCTGAGTGGCATGAATGATTAATGCTTGGCTACTAACTAAAGGTTGGCAGTGGGAGTCCATCCAGAGGTGCCTCAGAAGAAAGACCTGACAATCTACTTTCAAAAGAAAAGACCCACTGAAGGCAGATTTTTTTTTTTTTTTTCAGTTTAACGATCCTCATCTTTGAAAAAGCATTTGTGGGCATTGTGTGTGAGTGTGTGTGTGTATGTGATTTGGGTGAAAAGCAAATTCATGTTCCATACACCAGTTCATAGACAATTTGATTCATGACATTGACTGCAATTACCCACAATGTAACAGCTCTCTTTCCCCTTCCTCCCTGTAGTTACCTCTTCCCTGTGTCCTTCTTTCCTATGCATTCCTGCTCCCTGAGCTATCTCCCTGTGCAAATACTGCCATTCTGTTCTCCCATGATTGATCACTCTAAGAAGTATATCTACCTGGTGTAAACATTCACCCTATATGCCTGTGTGTTGTTAGACTGGAAGCCAGGGAAGTGAGTTCAATACTAGCCTTGAAGGGTAACCCAGGTCCATAGTCTTGGAAGTCTCACCAGGTTCTATCAGACCAGAAACTGGGTCTTTTTTATTATTTTGAATTTTGCTCCATATTGTTTTCCCACTCTATCCAGGGTCTCTTGCACTGATCTCTTTCTGAGTGGTTGACAGTGGTAGCTGGGCACCATCTTGTTCTTCTGGTCTCATGGTCATACAGGCTGAGGTGTGCATGGTCCACTAGTCCTTTGGACTAATTGTTTCCATGCATCTTTGGTTTTCTTCATTCTTTGTTGTAGATGAGGAGAGATCCATTGCTGCATCTAGATAGCTGCTTGCAACCTTTTAAGACGCCAGTTGTTACTTACCAAAGTAGGATGTAGAACAGTGTTTTTGTGTAGTACATTATGCCACTCCTTGGAAGGAAGATGGGGCAATCT